TGGTGCTGGGGGACTGAACCGCGGTTCCTGTGCTTTGCTAAGCTTGTTCTAAGTAGGTGCTTTAGACCACTGAGCCATCTCACCAGCCCCAAGAGTAAACTTTTATTAAAAAAAAAAAATCCAAACCTGGGCTTACTGAGATGCCCAAGGCACTATTTAGAGACAATGAGAAGACAGGTAAAGTTACCTCATGGTGTAGAATGGACTCCTCAGTATCATCTTTCCAAGAGGACTCAAGGCTCTGTGAGTGCTCCTCATTATAGTTTAATTGCCTTTCCTAACAGGAGGCAACATGATATGATGAAAGAGAATGTGACTCAGAAGTGTCACCTGGAAATTCTGCACCACAGCTCCTTCTCCTCACAGAAGTGTGAAGATTATATAAAGTGGTGCACAGGAAGATGCAAACAGTGACCACATAGTGCAGAGATTCAACAAACACCAGCCTTCTAATACAACCCAGCCTACCCAGCAGGCCAGCCTACAGAAAGAGGACATAGAAGCAGGACACACTGTGGTCAAGAAACAGGATGGGATGGCACACAAATACTCAACTTTCCAGAGATCTTTTAGTCAGGTGACCTACAATACTGAGGCCTACCTGAAATGCAAGGTTTGGCAATCTCAAAAAGCACTGTCCCCGTCTCCAAATCTCGAATTTTGAAGCGGGTAAAATCAATACTGTAGATGTTGTCTTCCGGTTTACACAAATAATCTGAAAATGAGAGAAATCAACACTGTCACATACTTCAAAATATGATTTAATCCTCAAAAGTTCTTTGTTTTAGTTTAGCTTGGGTTTTTGTTCATTTGATTTGCAATCAAATTTGAGGATGGATCCAGGACTTTCACACAATTCATTCACATCCCTGGCTCTCATTCTCAAATTCTGAAGCAAACTCAAGTTTTGTTTTGTTTTCTTATGCTATTATAACACCGTTCCTCCAACACATTCTATGGTGTTAAAATAAAACAAAGTTGTACAACAGAATGGAGAGGTTTAAGAAACACAGAAGCTAGGCAGGGTGGCGCACATCTGCAAATCCCAGAACTTGGGAGGCTGGTACAGGAAGACCACCAGAAGTTCAAGGCCGTTACTACAACACTGAGCTAAATCTTCAGTCTTTTTGTTTTTGGTGGGGGTGGTTTTTTTGTTTTTTTTTTTTTTTTCAGAACTGGGGATTGAACTCAGGCCCCTGTGCTTGCTGGGCAAGCGCTTATTCTACTGAGCCATCTCCCCAGCCCCATGTTTTTGTTTTTAAATTCTGAGACCCTGGTTTCCTTGAGTTGCTAAGATGCCTGGGCTTCCTTTGAATTTGTAATCCTCCTGCTTCACTATCTTGAGAGTGCTGCAGTTATAGGCATATGCCACTACGCCTAGCTTTGAAATAAATTTTATATCATGTTACGAATTTTAAAATTTATTTTCAACTACTTTTTAAGGTAAAAAAAAAAATTCTTAGCTGCTGGGCTATACAAAATCACACAATAGAGACGGGAGGTGGCGTATGCCTATAATTCTAGTATTCGGGAGGCTGAGGCAGAACAATCATCAGTTTGAGGCCGTCCTCGGCTACATAGTGAGTTCAAACCCACCCCAAACTACATAGACAGATCCTGTCTCAAAAAACCAAAACAAAATCACATGGTGGGTCACACATACAGTAAGGCAGCAGAATGAATGCGCTGAAGAGAACACACTGAAGTATAGCCTGTAACAAGCTAAGGAGCTAATCCAAAGGGTATCCATCAAAGAAAATTTCATTAACTTCTTTATAATTTTTTTTTTACAAAGTAGGATATATAATTTATTGGGGATTTTCAATTTTATTTCATTTCATTTTAGACATAATCCCTTATTAAAAAATATTTAACCCTTAAAGTAACGCAAGACAAGTATTATTTCCATTTTACAGGTAAGGAAAGGGCACCTCAGAGAGGGTTTAATCACATTTTATACTTTTGAAAGCTGTCTCCCCAGACCTACTATGACACTACCTTAAATTGCTTGTTTGCGTTACTCTTTCACATTTTACAAGCTGTCTCCAATAAGAAGGCCAACTTGAGAACTACTGCTTATTCTGTAACTCCAAAACACGGCAACATTGGTTCTGTGCCTTTAGAGGGTCCTCGACAAATAACTGGTAAAATTTTAAACAAGGATAACAAAATCCAAGCTCTGGACCTGTGGCTTTCTCTGAGGAGCAACAGAGGTGGGTTCTTGGGCAACAGTACTACTGCCAAGCCCCCAAATGGGATCTGAGTGCCAGCTGAGAAAGGGGCCTCTAGGGCCAGGCATTAGAAGGACCAACTTACCCTTTACAACGGGAGCAAGCATGAGTCTATAGAGTACATTTATATTCAGGCACTGTACATTTATATTCTTCCCATGCCCCGAATGAAAACTTAAAGAACAGAAGTACCTTTTTCAGTTTCAATAAAACTCAACTGCACTATTGTCTAAAGATTCACTCATGCATGCAAGCAACAGTCCTAATCCAGGGATAGGGACTTCAAAGTATCCCACGTCAAAACTATCTCAGCATATGGGGACTCCCTTTGCCCAGGCTGGACCATGACCCGCTTCCCTCCAACTTCCATTCCCAAATCACTGGTACACTGGAGCAGCCCTAGACTGAAGCATTTCACAAACTCCATGCATCCTTCCTGGTGGCCCACCCTTCCTGGTGGCAGGGCTGAAGTGCGGAGGTGAGTGGGCAGGACAGAGGAAGCCAGACCTAAACAGGTGACCGCAAACTGCTAGGGGAAAATAGCAAGACGGTGTCACAGGATTGGCTTGGCAAAGGAAGAGGGAGATTATCCAGAACAGGGAATAATCCCTTCCCACTTTCCCTCATATCAGTGAAAAGACCTGGGTGGGTTGCTGTTATGCAAAATTTGCATTTCTGAAATCCTGACGTGATCCTTAGTTCACTAGGGAAAAAAATGGCAAAGAGCAAGATTCACATGTGGGCGTTTGTACATACAGTGAAACTTTATTCAGATTTTCTCCGTGGCATAGTTTTTAAATTTGCACGAAACGCCACGGCCATGTGTGCTGAAGAAAGAAGTGCCCACCTGCACACAAAAGGGCAACGCCTGGGACCAAAGGGAGGAAACCTAGTGAGGGTGGGATGCGGGAGGGACTGCCAGGGTTCGGAGCCTGGCTCCAGGCGGAAACACACGTAGGGGAGCCGGCCTGGCTGGCGGCGGCCGCGGAAGCCGGGGACAGACGCGCCGCGGGGACCCAGCGGGGAGTGGGGGCTTCGCCGATGGCTGCGAGGCACTGGGCTGCGGGAACCGGCTCTGGAGGATCCGGTTTAGAAGTACGGTTTAGAAGTACGCGGGCTCTTCTCCACTCAGGTCAAACTGAGTTGCCTCACTGGGTCTGGCCAGGGGAAAGCCGGCCCCGCCAGATTCTGGGATCATTTGCAGCCAAACCAAGGGGAACCGCCTCCCCACCCGGCCCCTGCGGGCGCGGCCAGGCGGACTGGGCAACGAGCAGAGGGCAAAGCGGCCTGGCCGGTCGAGCGGCCCGTGTAGCCCCTCTCGCGGGCCCAGCAGGCGGACCGGCTGAAGGCTACGGGGCCTCGGGGCTCGGCCCGAGCGGCACTCACTCTCGGTGACCCGGCTGAGGCGCAGGACGTGCTCGGGCCGGATGGTGTCCAGCGCCAGTAGCTCCTGCTCGGTGACCACCGTCCCGATACCGTCGCCGAACGCGTGTTGGGGCGCCTGGCGCCGCGCCTTGAGTCGGTTCAGGACGCCGCCCCCCGCCTTCTTCTTTTCCTCCTTGCCAGCCACCAGCCCCCCAGACCCAGCTGCCGTCCCCGCGGCCGAAGCCTTGGGGTTCGCCCCGTTCATCGCTCCGCTGCCAAGATGGCCGCCACCTCCACAGCGCCGTAACTATGGAGAGCGGGGGCGGGGCCAGCCACCGCCGGGGCGGGGAGGGGCGGGGCTTACGGGAGCAACCGGAAGGTTCTCGCTCCAGCTTTTGCCCAGCCACGCGGTGGGCCGGTCGTGGGGCGTGGCCAGGACTTAGGACCTCCGCACCCTCTCTCAGGCTTCCAGTGTCACCCTACAGGTTTCCAATGTGTCTCTGGCAGTCAAATGAATTTTTGTCACATAAACTGGAAAAACATCTTGAAAAAATGTTTAATATATTTTGCATATAATACAAGTTATGACAGTTCTTGCTAAGCAAAGGCAGCCTCTAGACAAGCTTTCCAACTAGACTGCAGGAACTAAGGCCGACTGCCAGGTCCTGGGCTAGACATTGCACTAGGCTACAGGAAATTTAAGGATGAAGGCAGAATTTCGGTCTATCTTACTCACCATTATATAGTACTGCCAAATTTGCAAATGCCTGGCACACACAATAGATGCTCAATAAGGAATGAATGAGTGGAATTCTGAACGGTGCCACCCACCCTTCTTGTAGGAACTCCCACTTTGTCAGGAAGACTGTGAAGTATACAGCTCATTGCTTCAGAGTAGTAAGTAGGGTCTAGAAGACAAACTGACTCCCCTGACTGCTGTAAGAGGTGCAGCAAAGGTGCTAGGAGAGCACAGGGAGTGGTTTACTCTGACTGGATGGGGGATGGAGGGTTCACAGAAGTGACATTTCCAGTGGGCCTTGGACATTACCCAGGATTTCACCCAGTGGAGGAGGCCAGTAAGGAAAAGGCTATAGCTCTCTTACACCCCTTTGGGATTCTTCTGGGCTTCTCCTGTTAGAGGCCCTGAGCTGATTCATGCAAAGTGTCTATTGGATCTGACATCAGCTCTCAGCCAGACTAGGGCAGAGTGAAATCCCAATCCTCTGGCTATGTTCAACCTCAGGACCTGAGTTAGGCAGGGCAGTGCTATGTCCCTCTCACCTGCTGGGAGGGACCTGGGAGGGGGTTGAGAGCTGCTTCTAGGCCTTTAAAAGTGTTTCTCTGTCCCAACCTGGCTCCACTCAGCTGCCCAGTTAGGTAGAACAGTATGTGGCCAAGTTCCTTTCTAACCACTGTCCTGCCTCTTGAGAGATTGGCATCCTGTGGCGCTTACCATACTGTTTCCATAACAGTAAAAACAAAAAGTCTTTCCTCTTGCAGACAATTTTTTAAACTAGTCAACTGTGAGTAGTCCCTGAAGAATTTCCAGAACTTCTAATATGGTATTTGTGATTGCCAAGAAGGCAGTTTAGTATGCAGTCACTCCCTGCAAATTTGCTCACTAAACCTTTGTTGTCAAGGTATCAAGACTAGAATAATCTGGATCCATTTTTTTCTTCCTAGGGATCATGACAAATATATTAACTTCTTCACCTGCAATTCCACATCCATGAATTTAGCCCATATGTATACACAAAGATATTTACTTCAGGAATATTTTTTTTAATTTATTTATTTGTGTGTGTGTGTCCAGCTCAGCCCACCAGGGGGCGGGGCTGGCTGGCATGTGGTGCTGGGAGATTGAACCGCGGTCCCTGTGCTTTGCTAAACTTGTTCTAAGTAGGTGCTTCAGACCACTGAGCCATCTCACCAGGCCCAGGAATATTTTTAATACTGATAAATTATTGTAAAATACAGTTGAGTCCATGTTGTACGGCTGTTAAAAATACTGAGCCTGAGCCATCTGTACTAGTATGGAAAGATTTTAAAGATACATTGAGTGGAAACTGGTTGTGATGGTGCACAACTGTAATTCCAGCTTTTGGGAGGCTGAGGCAGGATTGATGTGAGTTTGAGGCTAGCCTGGGCTACCTGGTGAGTTTAAGGCCAGCCTGAACTGCATAGCAAGAACATTTCTCAAAACAAAAGCAAGGTACAGAATCCTAGTTGCTTAAAAACAAAATATGTATAGACTAAGTGCTTACCTGGCAAGCACAGGGTCCTGACTTCAATCCCCGGTACCACAAAAAATAAATAAATAAAATATGTAATAGATATGTTTCTGTTATTGTAAAGGCAGAAGTCTGGATATACATTAAAATGTTAATCCTGATTACCTCTGAAATGAGAGTATTGGAGTTAAAAGGAATATATTCATGACATTACTTAAGAGTTACTTGTGTACTATTTTATCACAAGCATACAATCATGGGCTGCATGTATACTTCTTATAGTGGCTGGAGTACAGGCAGTGGTCGTGGCAAGACAGGGTCCTCTTATGTAGTCCAGGTGGGGCTTGACCTCATGTTGCTTCTGAGGCTGGTTTAAATTCTCAGCAATACCCTACCTCAGCCTCCCAGCTTCTGGATTACAGGTACGAGCCATCATGCCCAGCATTTATGTTTTAAAAAGAAAACATCTTGAGCTGGCCAGATAGCTCAGTGGATTAAAGTGCCTGCTTAGGGAGGCTGTAGGAACTGGAGTTCAATCCCAGGTGTGCTGTGCTGGCCCCACCCCCAGGGCACACTGAGATGGCAAATGAGACTGGACCTGGTGGCGCGCACCTGTAATCCCAGCACTTAGGAGGCTGAAAACAGGAGGATCACTATGAGTTCGATTTGTGTGGTGAGACCCTGTACTAAATACATTTAAAAAATAAAATAAAATAAATTTTAAAAGGGCTGGAGATGTAGCGCATTGCAAAGTGCTAGTTAATCATTAGCAACACACACACACACACACACACACACACACACTCCTATTTGGGGAAAGAAAGAAAAGGGACAATTACTGCATTAAATAATTAACACCAAGATTTCTCAGGACTGTACATAGAAAAGCTGGAACACAAAAGCTGGCCTCCCTTGCACCCCAGCTGGGTACTCTTACAAGTTCCTGCAGTCACTGTAAGAACTGCGAAAGTGGCTGGTTTTCAGCATAGTCCCTAAGGAGCCAGGTGCTCTGCCTCAAATCAGGCCAGGCAGGTGGAGCATTTGGAGCAGCCAAAGCAAGCACAGAGGGCTTTTCTAAGACTGGGAACACAGGCCTCTCCACAGCCTCCTTGAGAAGGTGCACAGGTAGGTCAGGGCTGGTGTGGCAGACACCCCTTGTGTGCTGGAACTGACAGCATCATTTCTCTAATAACCAAGTCACTTCACTCCCTGGCTGAGGGCTATTTTTTTAAAAAAAAAACCCACTAATTTATAGGTCAGGGAGATAGGTCAGGGAGATAGCTCAGTAGCATAAGTGCCTCCCTGCCAAGGGCAAGGTCCTGAGTTCCAGTACCAAAAAAAACCCCACTTATTTATTATGTATTTAGTACAGGATCTCACTACACAGATCAGACTCATAGTGATCCTTCAGTTTTCAGCCTCCCAAGGGCTGGGATTACAGGCACGCACCACCAGGCCCAGTTTCATTTGCCATCTCAGCACACCCTAGGGGCAGGGCCAGCATGGCATGCCAGGAATGGAACCCCAATCCATGTGTCTAAGCAGGTGCTTTAATCTGCTGAGCTATGTGGCTGGCCTTTCCCACTAATTTATTATTTATAGCTTACCGTTTCCAGAAAGTCTCTAGTATGTCCTAGTCTTTTTTTTTTTTT